ACCATAATTTTATACAAAAAACCAGTAGTGGCCAGATTTATATCACTGAAATAAAACTCCACCTGCAAAGACAAATATTTATGACTAGGCATTATGTGGTGGAGACAAAGTATGGCCAAAAGCTTCAGAAAATAGATAACATGCTCATATGGAAGTTAAATATGGGCCACAATGGACATACAAAGGAAATTGCCAAACATGCCCCATAAATGACACCAATATATGGGTAATTGTAATTATTTGTTAGAAAACAGCTTGTCTTCCCATTTTTGTGTTCTTTACCCATTTCCATTCGTAATAGCTTCCAGTGCTTTAGCATGTTCTACAGGGATTAAAAAGATACAGAAAAAGAATCCTTATCACATTAACATATCAGCATACCCATTTATGATCTGATATTTTTTTCAATGACCCAATTCTGGAAGTATTAGACAATATCACCACAAACTGAAAACTAAAGCATATTGACTGACCAGAAGCCTGATAAGTGACAAACTTTTGACAGGTTGGTTTAGATCCTCAAATGGTATAGCAGTATCCTTTCTCTGGACCCATCCCCCATCCACTCTAAAAGAAAGAAAATATAACCTCATTACTTCCTGACCACCATTATTGTGCCTTCCTCCCTTCAACTGAAATCCTACCATTCCTAATCTTGCAACCTTATCAGGGTGCCCTCTTTACGAATTCTCCTCCAATGCAAACCAATTCTGAACTGCATTGTGCCACCAAACAGTTTGCCATCAGCATTCCAAACTTTTACTGCCCATAGTTGTTTCGCTAAAAGTGGGTCCAGATTTTCTCTTGGAAGGCTCTCTTATTTTTTCTCCACTCCTAAAGGACATAACCCCTTCTCTCCAGAAATCACAGGTTTTTAACTTACATTTAAGCATGTGGATATACTTGTTGACAAACATCATTTGTAATTGTGACAATAGTACTAGCATGAGTTTTGTGGCTGTGGAAGGGGTTGTTCTCTTGTAGACTACAGCTTTTGTGTCAATAATAACTTGGAATCTGTGTTGACATTTGTTTTTCAATAAGTGTGTCGGCAGTTTATCTGATGGTTGCAGCTGTGAGCTCAGTGTTCTGCCATCAACTTGAGTTGCAGCTGGAAATAATTTTTCTTAAACATCTTCCAGTGTAAGGAGGTAGAGCCAACAAAGATTTGGGAATAAGAGTAATGGCTAATGGCTCTGTATAGTAGGAGATATGCAACGTATGGCTAATGGCTCTGTACAGTAGGAGATATGCAACGTAAAAAAGGTTTTGAGAATAAGATCTAAATGAGAACTTTACTAAGTCCCATTCTAAATCAATTATTTCAGTATTAAGCTCAACTTCTACAAGCCTGACTATATAAGCATTCCATACATACATGATTTTCAATAGAAATCATCAGAGGATGTCCACCTATTGCAATATAACAAATTTTTTGAATCCTTCAAAAAAAGAATACCATGATTTTTCATGTACTCAAAACACTTAATTTAGTGTATATGTAAATACGCTGTTGTTGCAGCAAAGCTAATACTTAAAAAGAAAATTTGAGATTAACTGAAAGGCAATCAAGAAAATTCAAAATCAAACTATAATGCAATGCCAGATAACACCTTTCCAGCAAAATGGTACTTAGACAGGACATGGACACTGTCACAAAAAATTTAATGGAAACAAAAGCTGCCCTTTCATTAGTGTATCTAGCCTACCTGATTATTACTTACCGATAATTCCCATATCTTAAAGATGCTCAGCTCTCTATACCATACAGTCCCACTTTTTGCCTCTCAAACAGCGCCAAGTAGGTGCATATGCCATACAATTCTAAAATAAAGCAACTAAGAAGCAGGTTTGATATCTATTTCCTAATTCAAGCATGACTCAGGGAAGATTCATAAAATCACTCTGTACAGTGACTAAATTATTAGATGAAATATGGGATCCAAATACACATCCCGTTTACATATTATGCGCTGGTCGTATTTTCATTATATAATGCATCCTAGTTGGCAAAATAAGAAAGCCAAAGAATACGCATAATCACCAGAAAAAAATAAAAACTAGTAATAAAAACGTAATAAGTATAATCACCAGAGGAAATAAAAACTAGCAATAAAAACGTAATTCATTAAAAAAAAAAAAGCACACTAACACGCATAACTGAATAACAACATCAATCAATAAGACAAAAATGCAAAGATGACATTTTTTTAGAGATGAAGAGGCTGCCTGATTGATAATTTTGAGAGCAATCTCTTCAGATAGGCCAATTTTGGAGGGATCAAAAGCATCGGAACTAGAGTGGGCCAAGACAGAAAGGTCCTGCTGTTGATTGAGAAAGCCTCCAAATCCAGGAGCAGCAACACCGTACAATTGGAGCTGCGAAGGGTACCCCAAGGCGGAGGCCAAATTGGTGTCGAGCGAGGACGACGTCAGCTGAAAGACAGCTCTGGAGGAGGCCGAAGACGAAGCCCCATTGGAATTAAACACATGTACCAAGGAGGGAACTCCAGGAGGGCGGGGAACGACGAAAGTAGCCGCGAGATCGCTCTGCTGCTCAGACTGAACCAAGGACAGCAAGTTCCCGCAGGAAGACGACAAGGAAGACAAGGAGGGGGAAGATACAGAGGGCGACAAGAGAGACGGCGAAGACGAAGGAGACGCAGCGGCGGACGAAATCGAGATGCGAGGAACGAATTCGGGAGCGCGGGCGTTGAGCTTACTCAAGGAGGCGGATTTATAGAGGCATGGATCGGAGGGAGATGAGGATAAGGAAGAAGATTTGAAGCGATGGAGTGGACGGTCGTGATCGAGGAGAGAGGATGAATAGGACCGGCTTAGGGTTTCGGGAAGATAATCAGCTCCAGCTGATGATGACGACGATGTCGAAGCAGCTGCCGAAGCGTCCATCATACAATTACTCTGTTCTTATTTTTCCTGGTTCTGAAATGATCTCAGTATTGCTGCTGATTGAGATATAGATTGCAATGAAAATTGCGTGCCTTTTTTTTCCCGGTGGCAATGGGAAGAAGAAGATGAAGAAGAACGGAGGTGTCCTCCGGGCAGGGCAGCTAGTCGGGGAGGCAGGCGGCCGGGGAGGACGGAGACCGACGGATACAAAGTGTTAGGAGCTGGGAGGGCCAGAAAGCGGAGACCTGAGAGCGGAGAGGAATTGTCGCTCTCTTCTCCTCAGACCCGTATTTTCTGTTTCGCTGCTTAACTTTTTTATACTACTTGCTACTCTGGACCTGAGGCCGGGGCCACACCAGGAATAAGTAGTGAGTTTTGGGGAGGAAAAAAAAAAAAGTCATGAATTAAGTCAAACGGAAACTATACTCCGTAGCAGGGCAGGATGATGGACGAATGATGCGCAGGTTAAAGTTTAGGGATTATTTAGTTAATCTAAATACTAAAATTCATTGTTTATCACTAGGGATTAAATCACGTGTAACATCAAAATAATAGTATATCATTTTATATATTTTTTTCTTAATGTAAGATTCAAATTATTTTTTCGCTTACAAAATCATTGTCAAATATGATTAATAACAAATAATAATAAAAAAAAACTGCAACCAAAGCATTACAAAAAAGCGAACTTTAATATCATGAAAACCTCTGCACCTAACCTTATTTATTGACAATGATATTTATGACGTTAAAGTTCGCCCTCTATAATGTTTCAGTTGCAAATTCGTTCGATTATTTGTTGTCGATTACGTTTAACAATAGGTATGTAACCAAAAATAGTAATTTGGATCTTGTATTGAGTAAAAAATATAGAGTGATATACTTTTTTTTTATGTTGTTTGAGATTTGATCCCTAATGAAAAATAGCAAATTTTAGTATTTTTTTTAATGTATGAATTGGTATTAAATTAACTAAATAATGTAATAGATGAGAGGCGATGATGGAATCATCTTATGTTCTCTCTTTTAATATCACTTTTGGATCTAAATATTATAAGAAAATTAAACTTCAAGGGAGATTAGTATAATTTTCAAAATTTGAAAGAAGGTCGGTGAAATAGACAGAAATTTTAGAATAGGTTTATGAAATTATCCCTTAATGTTAATAAATGTAGCTGTCTATCTAATGCATGAATACATAATACATAATTGGGTGAAAAAAAAATACACCATTTTTTTTTGTCAAAGAAAATACACAAATTGAAAATCTTCCAACTGTTGATGATTAATCACATTTTATAGAGATAAATATATGATCAACCTTTGAAATAGACATTCATACCATTGACATCTTCCATGCTGGAGGATGATCATCATGTACTCGAGGTCTATTGACAAAACTTTCAATTTGCCTACTTTTCTAGAAAAGAAAAATTTTGGTACTATAAGCAACCCCTATTTGGATTCAACCCTTTTATTTTTTGACAATATAAATAAAATCTTTTACTCCTAATAGTGCGTTTGGGAGGAGAGATTTGACCAGAAAAGAAAAGAAAGTAACAGAGGGAATTAATTTTCCACCGTTTGAGAGATTTTTTATGTCAGAAAAAAAAAAATGAAATGGACTGATCTGGCCAGATTCATTTTGAGGCTGCAGTAGAGAAAAGCTTTCTGCCCATTTTGGCCTGATTTGGACGGAAAGGGGAAAAGTGGCAACAAATTTTTTTCAAAATGCCAATTATGTCTTTAAATGGTTATTGAACAAATTTTTAATGATATGTATATCCAAAATTTTTTTACTTCTTTCTTTAAACTCCCAAACAACATCAAAATATCTTCTTTTCTTTTCTCATCCTTTCTTTTCTTCCATAACTTAAGGTTTCTTTTCTTTTCTTTCCTATCCTAAACTCCCAAACTAGCTATAAGAGTTTGCTTCTTCTACGACACTAAACGAGCTTATGAATCGATGAATTTCATATAATGTAGCAGTCAAATGTGTGAATGGAGTATAGTTAGAGGGCACTTGTGTAAATCTGGTCCACAAAATTAAACGTGGGTTCAGACTTCTTCAGACGCTGGGCTCAGAAGGCGTGTTGTCCCCGTCACATTAACAAACGTACGCCTTTTTAATCCTCTCCGTCTTAAAAGGCGTGCGTCGGAACCCTAAATCCACAATTCACGCCTTCACCAGATTGTCCGCAAAATTCAAATACTTCACCGGCCGCCGGAGACAATATCCACAAGACAAATCTGCAGAGAATCGTTGGTTCTCTCATTTTAGCGCTGCAGGTCTCTTAAATACCCTATTGCAGATTTTTTTTTCTTTTCAATTTTCCCTTTTCTCTTTGCAACTCTTTACAGTATCATTTTTATCATACAATTTAGCAATGAAATGCTACATGTGGAAAAAGGATTGTACTTCTGAGAATGCTTCTTTCCTCAAGTTTGGTTTTTGTTTTTGTTCATTTCTTTTATTGGGTCGTTTTCTATTTAACTGGAAATGGTTCAGAATGCATGATAATATGTATGGCAGTAAACGTGCTTTACTTTCTGCTTTCATGGTCTTAAGTGCTTTCATGGTCTTAAGTGGTGAACGTGTTTTTTCCAGTTTCACTGTGCAAGTGATGATGGGCTATGGTTTGAGAGAGAATTTGTTAGTTGGGACACTATTTAGATTAAAGATGTAACATTTACCTTCGAGGCTGATAAGCTGAAACTAGTTTTGGAAAAGGCTTGTAAAATAAGCTCAGTGTGTTAACTAGTTGCATGTCCTGGAAGCAAAGATAAGTCTTTATGCATTGATATATGTGATGAAAAAACCGTTGGATTTATGCATTGTCTGTTTCTTGATCAATGTTATCTTTTTGTTGACTGCTGATGTATGTGCAGGATTAGTTCTAGTGCCAGTTGAGCTTCTCATGGATAGAAGTCTTACGCTTTATGTGATTGCTTGTGCTTTATGAACGCCCCCATGTATATGCCCTCTTTGTAGACTGTCGACATCTCAGTCAGTGGTTTTAAAATTGTATGATGAGGAAAAAATCTCTTGATTTAATGTTTTAAATTAGCCATTTATATAAAAGTACGTTGTTTTCGGTCTCTATGATGCTAAGAGGTAGAAGGTCCCCCATTGGTCTCTCTAGAATTTCAAGTGACATTAATGAGATCTTGGGTCTTTCCACTCACTGCCAATTGGTTTTGAGATGGAACCTCAGGTTCATAAATTTTAGACGGTCAAGTGGTTGGAGAGAATCATGTCTGCTTTAATAAAATTTTGGCTATCAAAATAAGCCAGCCTTAAATGTGTAAAACTCTTATCTTTAGTTTGAGCACCTGATACTGGGTGCATCTTTGGTGGTATTACTGGAATAATACTTTGGAGATATTTTCTTTAATGTCATTTGGCACAAGTAATTTGTAACATTCTAAATCTCAGTTGTACCAATCTGAATTAGATGGCCATTAAAATCCTAACTGAATTACCTCAACAGTTATGCAGCATCTGTTTTTGTTTTTGGATGGCCATAGAAATTATATAATGCATGTCCGTTGCATTGAATTGTTATATATAGTATTGGAGTTTTTGAGAAGAATTTCTTTTTTGCTAATTACTGTTTGTTTTTCTACCTAAACTTCTTGCTCTCCTTACTAGATAATTTCCATATCTTATGGTTTGTCAGTACTTCTCATTATACATCAGTAGAGGAGATTCTGGAGATTGTCATGTAGACGTCAAAGTTACGTAAATCCCTTGAAAAGTTCTGCCCATTTGACATTTATGTTCGCTAGTTGCCTCTTGTTGCAGCTATTTCATCATTGGTAACATTTCTTTGACTTCATATCAACTAATAAGGAATGTAACTTGACTACAGTAATAAGAATGTTAAACTATACAAAGCAATGGTTTTGTCCTACTGATGCTACATAGTACACGGCAGCTCTGTATTGTCAGTTTATCAACTTCTTCAACTACCTCATTTGACCTGTCTTTCTTTTGAATAAAATCAGAGTTTCAAAGTTTCCTGTTTGAATCTGTATTTCCTTGCTAGTTTTTCTTGAGCGTCCTCAAGGAAGATAAAATCAATAATCAAAGGGTTTTATTAACATGTTCAGCAACCTTATATCATACTAACACTTGTTGAGAACTCAGGTGGCTTTTCCCTTGGAAGCCTGTAATATCTCTTAGGTTTTCTGTTGAATTTAGTGTTTCAAGCGCTAATAGATTACTTGCTATAAGTTTGTTCTTTGGACCTTTACAAACATATCCAATTTTCACAAGGGTCAGGTTGTTAATCTCATGCCTTAATTGTTGTAATTCAGTTTCCAAGTGCAACTTTCTCTTACTCTCTATTCATGATGTCAGGATCTTCTCCTGGCGTGTCATTCTTTTGATTTATATATATTGTTAGAATTTCTCAACCTTTTCATTTTTTCTTAATTTGTGTTACATAGTTTTCAAGTTATTTAGACTACTCTTTTCTGTAAGAGTTCCTTGAGTCACATAATCATTTTCATTCTATTTTGACTTTCTATGTATATTTTGACTTTCAATGTACGTGCCAAGAGTCATTTATTTAGGTATTGTGTTTCTAGAGCTCTACATTGTTGTTAATACTGATTGCCATCTAATTATGCTCATAAATTTGCGTTACTTACTGCTACTACGGGCTTTGACGGTTGTGTAGCTTTCTTTTCACTTTAGCTGAGATTAACACATAAGATGATGCAACTATTGTTGATTTCTGAATTGGAAATTCTCCTACATGATTTTATTTACTGATTTGAAATTTACTCAAGTTTGGCTGTTAGTTTAAGTTCTCAGTATTCACATGACTTCTCTTTGCAAAAGAGTAATTTTAACTCCGTATGTATCACTCTGAATTTTTACTTACCTAAAAATTTTTAAGCATGATCTGAACAATTGCACATGTTACTAGCTGTTGGCAATCATTGTCTAAAAGCCAAGGGAGGTAAGTTTGCCCTGGAAATAATGGAACTTTGTGAAATATCCAGGTTAAAAAGAATGTAAATTCTTATGTGTGGGTGATGTAAATAATAGCACAATGACTGTTGACAATATTTATGTAGGATTAAACAAATTCTAGCAAAACCCTTACTCATGCCTAGATGAATAGTCAGATTATATAATCAAATGGTCTCATAGGAAAAAGACGTCTGTGTTGTATAACTTGTTCATTGCAGAAAGAATTACAAATTTATGTACATACAAGCCCACATCAGTTAAGAATTGGAGAATGACAAGGATAGCAATTGCTAAATAAGGAAGAAAAAAAGTACCGTGAAACCAAAAAGTTTTTTGACTAAAAGAGAGGAAAAGCTTTAGATTCCCCCTCCAAGCCACTTCCTTTTATTTAAAGGGAGGAAGAGGATGTTCTTGTGACTATTAACTTTGAACTTTTCTTAGGATCATTTGTCATTTTATGTGCATTTTAATGTAGTCGTACACTTTACCATTGTTAAGGGTAGTTTTGCTTCTTTCATCTGTTATAGACAAATTTCCAAGTAGCACATAGGCTTTTTCAGTCCAAAATCCATTTTAATACTGAAAAGCATACTAGGGGTTGGTCTTCCCCTCTATCCCCATGTTAGTGTGTTGGGAGTGGTAAATTTTGTTTTTCCTATTAATAGCATCTTTAACTGTCTTTTGAAGTTTGCCTATAAGCCTCTGCATTTTTAGCTCCCTAATATGAAGTTATTATCATATTACTAATAACAGACCCCCTTATAAGTAAAAATACGACCATTTTAGAACAGTTTTAACAACACTTTCCTGCATACAACTATTTGTCTGCTACTTATGGTAATACACTATGTTTCAAAAATGGTTTTATACTTGTAGGTTCAACGCTGAATATGGAGGAACATGAGCAGACCCATGGTAATCTGCCAGAATTGGCACTGGGACTGGCATCAAGTGAGGGTCCTGTACTCAGTTTGCAGGCTGAGCATCGATCTAGTGACATAGAGAAAGGAAAGGTATTTTTATTGTGTTCATTATCTATATCGATTGACATTTAATATTGATTCTAAACGCCAAACTGTAACAGGATTTGGCACCACTAACATGTAGACGAGCTGATAGGCAGTTTTGGAAAATGAAGCCTTTGGATGCGCGTGTGCTTCTTCATCTTGCACAAGCAGGATTTTATGGTGTATATTGCATTGGGCAATTACCATTAGATCACTCGCTTATCACCGCACTAGTTGAAAGATGGAGAGAGGAGACACACACATTCCATTTTCCAGTTGGAGAGTGCACAATCACATTACAGGATGTTGCAATTCTTTTAGGACTGCCTATAGATGGTGATCCAATCACTTCACCAGAGTCTTCCAAGAAGATGCAGGAATGGCAGGCTCTGTGCCAGGAGTTATTAGGAGTCACTCCTCCACCTAAAGATTTTAATGGTAATCGACTTAGGCTTCGTTGTCTCAATGAAAGGTTTAAGAGCCTTCCATCAGATGCTGATGACACTGTAATTTTATGCCATGCAAGAGCTCATATTTTGCGTATGATCGGTGGGTTATTGTTCCCTGACAAATCTCAGTCTAAGGTAAAACTCATGTATCTACCATTCCTCAGAGATTTAGAGGCATGTGGGAAACTCAGCTGGGGGAGTGCTGTATTAGCTTGCTTATATCGTGAAATGTGTCGAGCTAGTAAGTCTAAAGCCAAGGAGATTGGTGGTCCCCTCATTTTGTTGCAGGTAAAAGAATTTTCTCATAAGCAATATTACATTTTGGCAGTAGAAGGTTTATTGATGACTTGGTTTTATTTAGTTATGGGCATGGGAAAGGCTTTTGCCATTTCGTTTGGAGAAAAAACTTCCAAGATTGAAGCCACCATATACTGAAGATGAGTCGAATGGCTCTGATCTTGTTGCTGTGGAGGATGTTGAAGCTCTTGTTATCAGTGAAAGAGACCATGATTTACCTGGGAAACCTTTAGGGAGTAGGTAAGTGAACTGGTGCTGGTAAACTCCACCAAACACACAAGTTATGTTCCTGTGAATGAAACTTGTAATTTTCATCTAATTTTGACAAGGTGGAAAGAGAGATTCAGGCATAAAAAAGGTGTTGCACACAATCTGGAGCTTTACAGAAACCAGCTAGATAGGCTAAAGGAGGGTGAGGTTAGTAAGTGGCATTATGGATTTGGTACTTTCTGTTTTGTTAACCTTTGCACTTACTCTGTGGTAACTTGAGCTTTCTCTTCTTTTCTCCTTCTCAGTTTATATGGAGACCTTACACTCCTGAAGTTACAGCACAATTGCCATCGTATTGTTTGTCTGGTCAAGCAATTTGGCATACAGTGTCACCACTTATATGTTTTAGTATAGTGGAGTGGCATCTTCCAAACCGAGTAATGCGTCAGTTTGGGCTTAAGCAGATGAAGCCACCTAATTGTGATACTCGCAGGGACCTTCATCGGACTGACATGCGTGGAAGGGAAGGTTATGACTTTGAAAAACTTCATTTGCACCATGTTTTGCTCTGGAGAGATTGTAATCAGCATATCATTCAGGGAGAGCCATTTGACGGAATAATGGCTGATGATGATCCTTATCTTGTGTGGTATCGTGAGATTACTCGCTTAAGGATTGGGAATCCAAGTCAGAAGCAAGAGGAAAGATATGTTGAGAAGGAAGACATAATCAAGTCAATAGTATGTGCTAGGATCGATTTTTGTATCTCAATTACTTGGTCAAGCTTACTGGGTTATAATGATGTACTCTTTTCTCTTTTCAGGCAGAGACAATTGTGAGCATCTATAAGAAAAGCGATGGGACCATCAAGGAATTTAATGAGGATTTGGGGTTACAATCACTTGTACAAATTCGAAGGATGTGCATCAATTCACTGGAGACAATGCAGAAGCACCCTGGTCCAGCTGGACATCTTGCATCTGAGATCGTAGTATCAAGGTCAACACCAGCTCCCTCTTCTTCACATATGCCTTCCCGCAAGAGACACAGAGGCCTTGTTGCTCCAAGATCTCCAAGGAAATCAAGGAAGAAAAATGTTAATAAAGCTTCACCAATTACACCTACTGATATAACTTTGCATCCATTACCAGATGCTGCATCAATTTCAGTTCACTCACCACTTAGTGTTCTAGCAACCTCAGCAGTAGGATTGTCACAGGATCCTCCAGCAATGCCTGTTGATCCTCCATCCCCATCAATGCGTATTTATTCTCCATCTCCATCAATGCCTATTGATCCTCCATCCCCATCAGTGCCTATTGATCCTCCTGGCCCCTCAGTGCCTATTGATCCTCCTTCCCTCTCAGTGCCTAATGATCCTCCTTGTCCCTCAATTTCTATTGATCCTCCATCTCCGCCTGTGCCTAATGATCCTCGACCCCCACCAGTCCTTTGCCTTTCAAAAAATAAGTCAAGCTTACCAGTTGTATTTGGAGAACTTTCCTCCTCAGTTTTACCTCTTCCACATTCTTGTCCACCTCTTCCCCTATCATGGCCTTCTAGTGGTCTTTTAACTCGTGAATGGATCATGGATTTGGAGATTGCTCTTGATTGGTCCTCTAGGAACATGCCTCCTGAACAATTTTCCTCTGTGGTTCCTGAAGAGGTATTCAATCAATTGGTTTTATCAGCATCAACTATCATGTCTAAAGAGCCCAACTGCCTGAGAATAGATGGTGAATTGGGATTGAGCCCAGGATCTAGGGTTGTAGTGGTTGGAGATTTGCATGGACAGCTGCATGATCTGCTATTCTTGTTAAGAGATGCTAAATACCCTGATGATGATAGATTCTTTATATTCAATGGGAATTACGTGGACATAGGAGCTTGGGGGCTCGAAACCTTTCTTATCTTGTTGGCTTGGAAGGTAAGAGTAGTTAACCTTACTTATGGCATCATAAGCTTATACCATAGCAGCTGAGATTGTTTAAAGTTTTAGCTAACAATTTCATTGGCTTTTCTAGGTCCTTTTCCCCAACAAGGTACACCTTCTACGTGGTAATCATGAGACCAAACTTTGTTCTAGCAAGCATGGGTTCAAACAGGAAATTTTGGTTAAATATGGGACCAAAGGAAAAGATGTGTACCAAAAATGTTTGAGTTGCTTTATAAAGCTTCCTCTTTCTTCTGTCATAGCTGGTAAAACATATGTTACACATGGAGGACTCTTTCGTAGCATCACTAAAGGAAAGAAGAGTAAAACTTCAGTAGATGACCTGAAGGAGATTGGCTCTTTAGAGGACCTATCGAAAATAAGAAGATTCGTCCTAGATCCTCCTTTAAATGGTAAGAACGCAATTATTGGTGATATATTGTGGTCTGCCCCGTCAATGAGCCCTGGATTTTCCAGGACTAATCAACAATCTTTTGGCCTCTTGTGGGGCCCAGATTTTACAGATGAGTTTTTAAAGAACTCAAATTTGAAGGTGAACACTGTAGAGCAAATTTTTTTCTTTTGGTTGGTTTTACCTTTCTCCACTTTCTCTTTCACATTTGTATCTAAATATGTACAATTCGGATATCTATATTTTTCCTGCATCAGTTAATTATCAGGGGACATGAAGGTCCTGATGTAAGAAAAGGCCAGCTTGGCCTCGGAGGAATAGATGAAGGGTACACCATTGATCATGATGTGGAAGCTGGAAGACTAATTACAGTATTTAGTGCCCCAGATTATCCACAGTTCCAGGTTTATTTTTCTGTCCTTTTTCTTTTTAATTTCATTTATCCTCTTCTTTATCACATAGTGTAACATATTTTGGTGGGTCAAGTGGTTTATTGTGATTTTTTAGCATTTTTATCCTATATAATCTATTAAAATTTTTCATTTCAACAGATCTGTTATGTTATGTTTAGATATTTAGAACATAGTTGACCACCCTATTGTTTTAGCAGAGCTTGGAGAGATCAAATGTTATGGTGCAGGTGTTTATCTCTCCTGCTGTGAGAATAAAAGGAGTTATTGCTGGGTTAATGGTCTGTTTTAGTTTTTCATTGAAATTTATCCCCACCATAAAATAGATTAGCCTCTTTTATATGGTTGATTGGGAATTGTGTATGGGCCTCTAAATAGATCTTCCCTTTGTGATTCTGGTCAGCCAGGTTGGAAATCCTTCTTTAAGAACACTTTTTCATAGAATGGAAATTATTTCTAGGGTGCAAGGTAAGAAAAGTAAAGCTGGAGAATCTTCTATGCATGTTTTCTGTGTTTCTGTGCCTGTTCATGTGTGTGGTTTTTTAATATATATGGTTATTTCGAATGTGGCTTTTAGTATTCATTGGATGGTTTTAGTAGGCCTGAGAAGTTAGTAAAGCTAGCCTCACTCAGGGAAGTTGTTAAGGTCAAACACTTACTGATGCTGAAAGTAGGTTGAATTGGTTCTTCAAAGCTAATGCAGTGGGGCATTTAAAATACTATGGAAGCTAATGTATGCACCTGTTTATAGACATATAACACCATGAATGTTTATACATTTCTACATAGCAGGCGAAAGAGGCCAGGTACCTGAATAAGGGAGCATATGTTGTTTTGGACCACCCTGACTTTGATGCTCCCTCTGTACGGATATTTGAAGCAGTCACTCCAAGACCCAAGGTACTGTTTCCAACTCACTTGGCAAAGAGCCAAGTAGAAATTTAAGTTGTTAGCTTTTACTTCTTATAGTACTTGTTCACTTTTGTTTACTGATATTTACTGCTTAGTGTAAACTAAGACAAAAGGAGAGAAAATACTCTTCTTCAATTTTTTGGACTACACAATATACATATATATATACACAAGTGTAACTTAATTTAGATCCTAAAATCATGCTAATCTAAATCAATCTACTACCTAATTAATATATGATACTATAATCATATGATACCTAATTAATACATGATACTATAATCATATCTTTCCTAATATTTACAATATCAAATCTTTCCATAATATCAGATCACATATCTTCAACACTCCCCCTCAAGCTGGAGCATAGATGTTGCTCATGCCCAGCTTGTTACAAAGATAATCAACTCGAACCCCATGTAGAGCCTTCGTAAAGAGATCTCCCAATTGTTCTCCAGTCCTTACAAATCCTATAGAAATCAAGCCCTGCTGTATTTTCTCACGAACAAAATGACAATCTATTTCGATGTGTTTTGTTCGCTCATGAAATACGGGATTGGATGCAATATGAAGAGCCGCTTGGTTATCACACCACAATTTTGCAGGCATTGAGGTTTTGAGACCTACTTCAGTTAGAAGTTGATTTATCCACATGATTTCACATACCGATTGTGCCATAGCTCTATATTCTGATTCTGCACTCGATCGCGAGATAACATTCTGCTTCTTACTCTTCCATGAGACCAGGTTTCCTCCAACAAAGACACAAAATCCAGTTGTGGATCTTCGATCTGCCTTGGATCCTGCCCAATCAGCATCTGAAAAACACTCAATCCTAGTATGACCATGATTTTTATACAGAATACCACGTCCAGGAGCTCCTTTTAAATAACACAAAATTTGTTCTACAGCTGTCCAATGATTAACAGTAGGATTAGACATATATTGACTAACAACACTAACTGAATACGCAATATCTGGACGAGTCACTGTAAGATAATTCAACTTTCCAACCAATCTTCTATACCTCCCAGGATCTTCTAACAATTCACCTTCTTTTGTGAGCTACAAGTTAGGAATCATTGGGGTACTAGCTGGTTTAGCTCCCAATTTTCCCGTTTCAGATAGTAAGTCAAGAACATATTTCCTTTGGGACAGGAATATCCCCTTCCTACTCTTTGCTACCTCAATACCCAAAAAAATACTTTAACAGCCCCAAATCCTTTGTCTGAAATTGACTATGGAGAAAAGTTTTAAGAGATGAAATACCTGCAGCATCATTCCCAGTGATAACAATATCATCCACATATACTACCAACAAAATAATACCAGCTTCAGACTGTTTGTAGAAAACAGAATGATCAGATTTGCTTTTCTGCATCCCAAACCTTTCAACTGCTAGACTAAAATTTTCAAACCAAGCACGAGGACTTTGTTTCAATCCATACAAGGACTTTCGAAGATGACAAACCTTCCCAGACTCCCCCTGAGCAACAAACCCTGGTGGTTGCTCCATATAAACTTCCTCTTGGAGGTCTCCATGAAGAAAGGCATTCTTGATATCTAGTTGATGCAAAGGCCAATTATGAGTGGCTGCCATAGAAATGAATAACCTGACAGATGTTAACTTAGCAACAGGGAAAAAAGTATCAGAATAATCCTCTCCATAGATTTGGGCATAGCCTTTGGCAACAAGGCGAGCTTTTAACCGAGCAACCGACCCATCAGGATTGAATTTAACTGCAAAAATCCACTTACTACCAATGGCCTTCTTTCCTGCAGGTAAATTTACTAAATTCCAAGTATCATTACCATCTAGAGCATTCATCTCCTCTATCATAGCATTGCGCCATCCGGGATGGGATAGAGCTTCATGAATAGTTTTAGGAAGGGAGATAGAATCAATAGATGTAATAAAGGAACAAGAAGAGGTGGGTAAATGATACACACGAAGACACAGGATAAGTGCATTGACGCTTACCTTTGCGAAGAGCAATAGAAAGATCATCACTTGAGACAGGATCTAGTAACGAAGGAACTGGTTCAGGGCATGCATCAGGAGACTTTTGTCGTCGAGAATATACCTGAGTAATTGAAGGTTTAGCAGGGGAAGAACTTGAGGATGTGACAGTATAGATTAACAAATCATCATCTTCATCTTGACATGAATGAGATGAGGATGGGGTAAAAGGTGTATTTTCAAGAAAAGTAACATCAACTGACACAATGTACCTGCCGAGACTAGGACAATAACATCTATATCCTTTTTGGACACGAGAATAACCAAGAAAAATACATTTCAATGATTTGGGGTCTAATTTAGTGACTTGGGGACGAGAGTCGCGGACAAAACATGTACACCCAAAGATTTTAGGTTCGATGGGAAATAAAGGTTTATTTGGAAAAAGAGTGTTATAAGGAGTCCCACCATTCAGAACAGATGAAGGCAGACGATTAATTAGAAAGCAAGCTGTGGACACTGCATCAGCCCAAAAATGTTTAGGAACATGCATTTGAAATGATAAGACTCTTGCAGTTTCGAGCAAATGTCTATTCTTTCGTTCTGCGACTCCATTTTGGGATGGTGTATCCACACAAGAGGTTTGATGAATAATGCCATTTTGCACCATATAAGATTGAAAAGGTGCGCATAAATATTCTTTGGCATTGTCACTTCGCAATATTTGTACGGAACGCTTAAATTGAGTCTTAACCTTAGCACAAAAAGCAAAAAAATGAGAAAACAACTCTGACCGATTTTTCATCAAATATAACCAAGTCATACGAGAATGGTCATCGACAAAAGTAACAAAATACTTGAATCCAGTTTTAGAAATGACTGGACTAGGTCCCCAAACATCTGAATGAACTAATGCAAAAGGAGCATCCGCTTTGATACCATGTAAACTAAGACAAAAGGAGAGAAAATACTCTTCTTCATTTTTTTGGACTACACAATATACATATATATATACACAAGTGTAACTTAATTTAGATCCTAAAATCATGCTAATCTAAATCAATCTACTACCTAATTAATATATGATACTATAATCATATGATACCTAATTAATACATGATACTATAATCATATCTTTCCTAATATTTACAATATCAAATCTTTCCATAATATCAGATCACATATCTTCAACACTTAGGGAGTGTGGTTAGATAAGATATTCTGTTCAGTTTTCCTTATGGGGTATTCTTGATTATTGTCTCGTCATAAAATTTTAGGTTCTACTTCACTGACAGGCAAATGCTTACTATGATTACAAAAATGTCGCTGGTTCAAGTGAGGAAGGGAATTTAGCGAGTAGCTCGCATGAAGATTTGGACTTGGCTGGTGGTTCTGATGAAGAAATAAATTGCCCTCATTAATGTTAGTTTGGAGGACCTTCTCCACAAGAAATTTGCAAGGTGCAGATTTCTTTCATTTTCCTCACTATTCCTCCTTTAATGTCGTTTTACATTATATTGCTGTGAAATGTTTGATTCCTCATAATTGGTTTGCTTTGCATGTATAACAATGGTATTCAAGCTTGTCCCTTAGTACCAAAGGTATACGAGTCCTTTTTGATGCAGTTGCATTTTCAAATGTTTGTACTTTCAAGCCACTATCTTTTGCTGATACTTTTGATAGGGCTTGCTATTGTGTAAGAAGATAACTAGTTGTTTTGCTTTGGTTGCATCCCTTTGGTGCCTCTGAATAAAATTATTCCTTCTCAAAAAAGAAAAAGATTAAAACCCTTGGATTAATATGTGGCTTGTATTCATATCTTTATTTGTCCTCCTTCTTCAACTATAGTTGCAGTAGCAGCTTAGTAGAGAATTCTGGTAGCATGGACTGGAGGCTAAGCAACCGCTAACCAAACCAATTCTGAATTCAACAAAAATCCATATAAAAGGGTCCACCACTGGAATTCAGTATGTCCACATTAACTAACCCCAAATAATTGTGAGTTAATGAGTAAAAAAAAAAAAAAATTCAACTGACTTAGTCTAAGTACAAAATCTAGCATCTGTCAAACCTAATAAGGTATAAACAATTTACTCTTTGGAAGAGAATGCAGGATTACTTCCAGGCCCAGGGGTGCAGTTGTGGCATAAGAAGTAGGAACTGAAGGAGTAGCTAGGGGAAAGGAAAGCCAAATGAGTTGGGAGAGACGAGATAGGAAAGGGAGGAGATGGGCAGCTGAGATTTCACAGAGAAAGCGGGTGGGAGATGGGAGAGGGAGAAGATTGGTGATGGGAAAGGGTGAGATGGCAGAACAAACAGGGTTTGGATTGGGTTTCAAAAAGTAGAGGGATCAGTTGAAGGGGAGAAAGGCCAGGGCAGGAAAAGAGACTGTTTAAACTGATGGGACAAAACTTATCTAGACACCATTTAACTGATTGTATTGACAGAGGAGGTCGGTGTCACTTCAAGAACACAAGGATGGTATGTGGAATAACAGCAAACCTCCAGGGAGGTCTCTGTCATTTCTGTAGATATTAACAAAAGTATATGTTATTTTGCAAGCAAGGAGTCCTTATTGGGGTAATATAAGAGAAATGACATAATATTTGATTAGCTGTTGCTCATGTTCACCTAAAAGCTTTCCTCCTATGGGTTAACTGTGAGCCTTAGATTTAGGTTTACACCTAATCTGAGTTTCAGGTTCTGTGGATGAGGTACAGGAAATATGAAATCCAAAAGTGAAAAGTAGATGATTTTTATTGCAATGAATTTAGAATAGTCGTGATGTGATGCAACACTGAAGAGGATAGATTGGAAGCAAAATGAGGTCAAGTGATAGTAGCTCTGATTATGTTGCTAAGCATTCAGGTATTAATTGATGGCCTTTGTGCCTGTCTGAGAGAGAGGGAGAGGACTTTTTGGGGTGTAGGGGAAAGGATACAAGAGGAATAATGGTAGATAATCTTGGGTTGATTACCTTGTAAATTAATTTGGCAAGATGTTCTTTGCTGATCCAAATTAAGATTCCATCTCTCCTTTCAAAATCACTAGTAATTGTGAACCATTTTGCAATTATGAACTACAAAAAGCTGCTGAATTTCACTCGGGCTTGGATCTGCAAGCTATAGAGTTAATCAGACCAAACTATTCCACTGAAGAAAGTCCCAACATGGAAAGAAATTATTGCTTTTACAGTGGCTTGTATAGCACTCAGTAACAAGCAAGATTTCTTTGGACTAACAATTATTGTGTGGTTTAAGATGATCAACACGGCTGTAGTTATCTGCTGGATCTTTTAATATTGAAACAGCTCCTGTAATCCGGATTTGATTTTCTCGACCAAGTGTTTTGGAGTTTAGACTCTCATTTTTCTTGCATCCTCAGCCAGCTTTGTCTTTTAGGCTCCTGCTACTTTCTTTTTCAATTAATGGAACTGCTCTTTTTTTGCATTTACCTTATAGTCTCTCTTGTGCTCTTTAATATTTACACACAAACCCAGGGACAGGTAGTGGTGTTTCTTTCTTTTCTTTTCTTTTTTTCCCCCTTTTGTAGGATATTTCCTCATTTTATTTTGATGATGATCACTCTTCTTCTAGGCAGCATAAGTCAAGAAGAAGTGGACACTGGTGGCAGCAGTGCCCCATTTGATAGCTTATGAAGAAACAAATCCTGTTAAGAGTAGTTCCAGTATTTGCTATTTCAGCCTTTGCCTTTTGGGTTATATGCCTGTAACTTGTGTGAACAAGTGTTACTGGAACTTCACTGGCTTTCAAGAACCGGAGAAAAAGAGGCAAGGTATGGAATTTTTGGTAGCAAAAAGAGTATTCCAGCCTTGATTTGATGGAAGTTATCAGTTTGCACGGGCGTCAGTACCTATTGGAGTTTCTCTCTCTAGGCGTGCAAAACAACAGAGCCTCTGCTCCTCTGACGCTGGAGTAAGGAATTGTCCACGTCGCCTGATTCTTTCCAACACCCAATTAAGATTTGGGTAAATGAAGCTGAGAGACAGTCCACCAGTGCAGCATTTCGTTCCTGCCTTGCTTCTAACTGGATTTCTGCAAGAATAGAAATAGTAAAGGTGGTTGTACATTTATTACGGTTCACTAACCTTCTGCATAAGCTGTTTCTGGCAGCATTTGGTTCCTGTATTGCTACATAACCGGATTTCTGCAATAAGCGTTCCTAGCCTTCTGCATAAGCTGTTTCTGGCAGATTCTGTGACTTTGTTTAGTAAAATTATGAAGTTGCTGCCTATTGATTGTGACAGCTTATAAAAAATCTTACCCCCCGGCCATCTTCTGTACCTCATCCTGATATTTAAGTATGACCTTATTAACCATCAATGTTTGTTTCTTGTTCATTGGGTTTCAGTAGCAGATTCTGGGAGATCGCTTCCTGGTTTTTATCATGCAATCATAATTGAATGCTAGAAAAAATTGGACCATCTGCCAGCTCAGTGCAAATTGCCTTATATGAACTAATAATGTCCTTGGTGGTATATCATTCGAGAGCCACAAGAAGAAGACCAAGAAGGTGGGAAAAACACGAATCTAATTACTGCCAAACGAGACATTCATCCGCCTAGCACTTAAAAGAGAGATTTTGAGCATGCATGAACAGCCTTCACAGTTTCGAGTTTTGTCGGCAAGGCTCCGCCCAGATTTCCCCATCTCGCTCTTTAGTCCTGCCTGTTATATATTCTCCGACCTGGGGATCCTCAGAGAAATCTTTCACACCCACAGCCAAAAAGTGATGGGATCACTGTTTTAGAATTCAAGAATCGTCCAAGGTTCAAATAAACAATGAAGAGTCGATGTGAATAATTTGCAGTGAAATTTGAGTCAGTGGCAAATTCGACTTCTGATAATCAAACAACAAAAATGTTCTCTGTCAGTGCTCTTAAGCTTTCATCCATTACGAGCCAGTAGCAAGGAACATTATGGAAATGAAACTATATTGCTATCAGCAGATGAAGGTGCCAAGGAAGAGTTTCTTTGACCTCTTTCTGACTTGAATCTCCACTTTATAGCTTCCCAGAAGGCAGGTATTGCAACATCATCTGGGACCTCCTTGAAAGATGGCAGGTAATTTAAATCGACGATGACATGGTCGCCTGTGGCTTCCTGGATCTGAAAGTTTAAACGAAGCAAAACTGTAAATTCCAACAGGATAATGGAAATTAAACTGTAGACAGTTTTCATTTCCTCCGCCGTTCCTTCCACAAAATCTATCAACCCATGATTGAGAGGAGCAGTATTAGAGTTTAACGATCACAACGGCTTAAACAGTATTACCGGCATTTTATTACTTGGTAGATCACGTTACAGCAATAAGTTTTGATTTTTCATCACAACATCAATAATAAACAAGTGCTTCCACTCTCCTTGTTTCATTTCCTCTTATTGTGCCTGAACTATATCATTTGCACAGATTATAACTTTCCTTAATCATGCCCATGAATTCTTGAAAATATACCACATAAAAAGCAAATCCTACCTTTTGCAAACAATCATGTGGAATTCATTGTGTAAAATACAGCTGGTCAGAAGAGAGTAGAAATAATAGACGTAGAAAATGGTCAGAGTTGAAACAGAAACTCACAACAACATCAAAGCCAAATATGGTAAGGTTGAGAACACTTCTGAGCCAATTTGCAGCATCAGTGACGAGTTCAAGGTCAAGTTGCTGAATTCCAGCACTGCTCACCCCATCCTCAACCTGCTGATTTTTCTTGTCTATAGGTAGAGATTTCAAACTGCAAGCAATGCCAGCAGTAATGAAAGGTTTGCATATGCTCTCATTCATGTGAACAGTTCTAGTATCATGGCAAAAGATGAGAATAGGAAATCAAGAAAATGGAGTACCTGTCAAAGAGGATAGGCTTGAGATCACACGCCTCTGGTAAGCCCATCAAAGTAGCTGCATTAGGCGTAGACTTCTTAATTGCATAGAAAACCTTCTCCCCCAGGACATAGAACTTAAACAGACAGGATGAATGGTCAACATATTCCTGCAGTTTCAAATGAATACTAATCCCCTTGTGTCAATGTCTACATGCCGTGCTTACCATGACATGTTCCATGATACAACTCAGATTGGTTTTATGAACAAGTTAACTTTAGTAAGTGGTAAACCATCATGACACTACTTCGTAGATGCTTGTACATAAGACACATACAACTATATATATGCATGATAACAGAAATTTAGCAAAACAAGTACAAAACGAACAAGTGAGCTGCAGTACAAGAAAGCTTTACCAATTTTTATCAACAGTCCCCACAGTTCCTGGCTTACCTGCACAACTGCTGGAAGGGGAACATTCAGGCCTTTGTACTGCTCTATATTAAAGACTATCGCCTGCCAGTTACAGCAAGTCAAAAGTCACAAAGAGATAAAAGTGACAATAAATCTGGATCTCTCCATCAGTCAAAAAAAAAAAAAAATTAAAGAGGAGGCAAAAGAGTAACTAACGCAAGTTAAGCAAGCAAAAGAAAAGGACCACCTTGGCATAAGAATTTCCAAATAAAAGTTTATAAACTTTTTAGGTTTCAGGGGAGATTTGCAATCCCCTTTGTACTTGGGAAGTCAGATTTGGTGATTCCTAACATGCATTGCACAAATCAAACTGTTAGAATCTCAAATACTGCTTTAATGTAGGGTAAGTTTTCATGCAACTAGCTGTCTCTAATTTCAAATTTCAACTAACACAACCAGGCTATCTTGAGATGTTGAAATAATTGAGACAGAACTTGAAAGCTCCAAAAGATAGACTTGTATATTTGCTTTCAGTTTTTAAGTTATAAGAGATAATGTTCATGCAAGCAAATTCTTAATAAAAAAAATTCTTAATCCGGCCAATTTAATATAATTGCAAAAAGGGGATCTAATTTCATAGGGGCAAACTTGATATTATAACTTCTAGTAAACAGTTATTGCCGGTACAGTTTAGCAAACAATCGAGGCAAAATTTTTACTAAAACACAAAGATACCAGTCTCTTATTTAACCTGGGCTAGCAAAGCTGAAGTAACTACAGCAGCTTAATCTCCAACCAGGTAACAACTATCTACCAAAAGGAGGGGAAAAAAAGAGAGAGCTGCAGCTACTCATGGCAGCATAAAACTAAGAAATCATCACTTCTCTGAGTTAGAAGTTAAAAACTTCTTTTTTTTCCATTTTCATCAATCTCAATCCTCATTAAGCAACATATACATCTAATTCGACCTTAATACGCAAAAAGCTGCTATTTCATATACGAATTCACAGGATTGATAATTGATATTCGAAGAATATTGAGAAAAATATACACATAATGAAAAGAAAGCTAAAGAAAACATTTTTGCAACTGTACATATCCTACTTTGCCAAGCTTTCTTAGTTTCCAAGAATATGCACTCAAAAGTGGTGAATGTTGAACTGATAATTACCATGCTGTGCGCAACAGCTACACCACAAGCAACTTGAGGTTTCACAATATTTGGAAATGAGAGCTTGGCTTCAAACAACCTGTGTTCCAAATTGGGCTCCTCAAAGCTATTAACCTACACGATGAATCCCATAAAGTAATCTGACTGATGAGTAAGTTTAGCAGACTCTACAACACCCACTTCCACCCATTAAGCAATTAGAAAATGAAGAATCAGGCAGTTTTATAGTAACACAGAGTTTATCCATATAACTGCATTCAAAGGATAATTTTATTGTGACTAGGTAATATGAAATTATAGTTCACTCCTCTTCTAGGCAACTTTGATACATGTCAGTCTGTTAGTGTGATGTCAAACACTTACGAAAGACTCAAAGGTGGCATCCTAATTATCTAGGTTCAAATCTATGTGACCACAGTCCTAATTTCCTGAGCAACCCCCTGTCTACACGTTATTTGTTTGTTTCAAATGACTTTCCTACGTCTTGATAGTCTATTCCTTGACAGGCATCTACATGAAATGGAATACTATATGATTTACAATATCTCCAGAAAAAGTTAATCAGGGCTCATCGCTCTTCTTTTGAATGGCAAATTATTCCAATATTAATGGTGTGTACTTTTGTCCACATATGTAGGATTTTAGCATGAAAGCATACAGTGTTACAACTATTAATTGGGATAGCGCACCATGAGATGTACCGAAACTTTTTCTTTTTTGAGAAAGAGTCTACTTGTGTAAATTAGGGAAAATATTGAAACATATCTACTTATTTAGTCGAAATTTTCACCTCAAGATGACTAGAATGTCTTAATTATCTCAAACCCCACTGAGTGAAGAGGTGGAAATTTTGGGCCCGCATATCCAATAGAGGTTTTGCTAGCACTAGCCTCTGGTTTCTTTTCCAACAAGGGTTTCAAAGGAATAACCTGTATTGAAGCCAAAAATTAGCACTGCAAAGAGAATTTCTAGTCTCTACTTGGACGTTTAAGCAAAAGAGGAGAGACAATCTCAGACAAGCGAAATTTGATACCCTTGTGTTTTCATTTCTTAGGCAAAATCGGATCACTCATTTCCACCACATGTTCAGCAAATGTTTTCTGTAAGTAACATTTCAGAAAGAGGGCAGTCACTTGTTTTTCACATGTTAGGAGATAAGGTGTAAATTATAGTTTTAACATTCTCATTAATGTAATAAACAGAAAACGGAACATACTAAGATAGTGAGATGAACTTACAGGAAATACACAGCACATACTATTAGAATGATACACCATAGAGAATACTCTTAACTGTGATTAGATATTATTTATGATATAAACATATCATAGATAATATTCTAGCAAAACAACCTTGAGAAAACGAGGACCCCTGATTCTGTAACAGCTTTTTATGCAGAGATTTTCCAAACCAAATAGGATCTGTTGGATTCTAAGCCGATCCAGTACAGGATAAATGTTAGGAAATGGATCAATCACACAGCATTCTGGATGGCTCTCAGTGTACCTGGAAAGTTCATAATTAGAATACATAAACCGCAGCTAACTACTTCTTTATTCAAGAGCAGCAGATTGAAAATTTCTCTCTTATACTTTTATCAACATTTGCAATTACCAAATAGCTAGAACAATAGTCTTTTATCAACATAGGTTACCACTGGAGATAAAGTTTTTCAAACATCCGCAGTACACAAAACAGAGGGTAATTCAAGTGAAATAGAAGTGGGAAAAAAATTAAAAGACTATTGTTTTTTAATGCAATAGGCATGGATGTGACATGCACAAGATACATGAGGGAACATAGGAAACCGCTAGAGGAAAAGTTTTATCATCTTGCTCAAAACAGGTAAAATGCTCAGTAAACTACAAAGATTTCTGGACTAATAAATATCTGAAAGCATTTCTGCTGGTGCTTGATATAAATTTGAAAGTCGATTACTGGTCAGACAGAGTGCAGTCAGGCCTTGATTCTTTCCATACTAATTAAAAAAACCAGCGTGGAAAAAATTATTGAAACTAGATAGTTCTAACTTTCCAATGTGTCTTTATAAAGCTCTTAAATTAAAACAAAAGCATCCACATGAAGTTAAGTCACATAAAGTATAAGTGACCATATGATGTTTAAGTTACCTTTGTAAATCCTGCATGCCCTTGGTATACTCAATTTTGTCAACAAACTCCGAACTGCTACTCATTTTAACATCAACAATCTCATCTGTTGCTTTGTGAAGCAGCACATCTACTTGTTGTAACTGAGAAGATATGGGAAGTTCAAAGTTAAGGGGCAAAAATATCAACCCATTTTGCGTTGGATGTGAAGGGAATGCACCTCTCTGCAAATCCAAACACCGAAAATAAGCATCTTTTGGCATAGGCAGACATAAATTTGACACGTACAACGGTACAAGCTCAACATATAAGCAGGACCCTGAGAGTCATTTTGATCAAAATTAAATCAAAGCTAGCTACTCCCCCGTGCTTCTATTCATGCATTGTAATCGGACAATGACAAAGGCGTATATATGGCAACATCGTAATTCAACTTTCAAGGGTACATATAACTGCTAAGTTATGAACCAAATTCAAAAGGCCATTATCGTTGTTGATCCATCCAGACCCAACAACGCAATCAATCTTGTAACAAATCAACTTAAACCAAACAGATCCATATCCAATCATACATCTTCCAAACTACCTAAAGACTTCCACAGTCTTGTCCCAACTGACCTTCGCAAAATCTTCTTTCCGAGAAGGCTTCATTATGTAACCGACCACCAAGATGTTCTCCTTGCTTTCTGCCTATTTGTCCAGAAAGATGAGAATCAAGCAAGCATTGATATGAAAGATCATTAATTTAATAATGAGATGATTGAATTCAATGGCTAAACTCCCAGAATCTCATCGTTTCTAGGCTTTTTCATGGAAATGGTATCACAAGGCTTCGTCATGGCCGCCTCAAGCCATGATTCAAACAACCGCCGTCCACTGCACCAAATTAACGCAATAAAAGTACGCCAAGAACAACGAAGAAACTAACCTCCATGCTAAAATCTCTAGGCCAAACTTGTCTTCTTCAAAACCCTTCAATGAAGAACAGCAGGAGGAGAAGGGGAATGAGGAGCACTAATCAAGGAGAAGACGATGAAGATGAACTCCGGAAACTCAAAGCTTCCTTGAACAAAGCAGAAAGTTATCAATCAATCGGGTTGGAGTGGAATGCGTTTGGCAGTGGGCTTAATTCGTTTAGCTAAGATTGTTACAATAAAGGCCACTTCAGCTTTGACAGGCAAATTACGTCATTAATATATTTTTTTTCATATCTTTCTTTAAAAAAAAATTTCTGTGTTTTATACATGTGAGTTAGTGCTGTTAATCGAGCAAGTATTTGACTGTCGAGCTCAACTCGTGGTTAGTTCGAACTCACTTGACTAAGCAGATGAACCTTGAAATGTGCTCGAATTTGGCTTGCCAAATGGGACATATGACTCGAGTTCAAGCTCGAACTTGACTCATTTATCACAACGAGCCGAGCTCGACGCGAGCTCAAGTGTCGAGCTTATGCAAATTGATCACAATGAAAACATATAATTTTCAATTTCTATTCTTTTGACTTGTCAAAATAATATATATGTTCTTCCTTATCGAACTCAAGTGAGCTGCTCGAATTACATACGATTCGAACTTACTCAGCTCGTTAATTAATCGAGTAAATTTCTAACTCAAATTCTACTCGTTTAATAAAATTGACGAGCCGAGTTCAAGCCTTATCGAGTCGAGTTCAATCGAGTTTTCGAGTTCAAGTGCCATTTGAACTTATGAGACCTCAAATTCCTTCCAAATAGTTTGAGGCATTGAGCTTAAAAGCTAGACTTAACAAGCTCAATCTAGTGTGAGCACTTATGAGATTTTTCAACATCTTTCGGTAGTTCAAACTTTGCAAGAAACACATTTGACTTGAATCGACTGCAATCCTTACTACTTCAAGCTATTCTTTTGTTAGCAAACACAAAACTTCAATCAATACAATAAGAAAGAGGATCCTCATCCAATATATGCTACAATTTTCTGATTCATTTGTGTGTGATGTCTGAACTCCAAAATTTTATCTGTGAATAATCATGTGAAAAAAAAAAACTAGAAGATGAGAAGAAAATAAAACAGAAAAGGAAACGAAAAGCATCAAATCAGAGGGAATATAACCGAAGAGAACTTGTCATTTTGCACCGCCAACAATGGTAACTAGAAGTTAACTGATACCCTCTGGTATCGTTTAGAATAATAGGGGGGAAAGCAATGAGACCAGAGGGGCACAAGTATCTACCAACAATAACAACCCGTCTGAACCTAAGTATCACTCCCATCTTGATGAAAACCGAACTATGTAACAAAATATGCTACGGAACAACAACATCAGGGTGAAACTGCCAACTTAAATTACAAACACACCAAAAAATGAGCCGTTCTCTTTGCAACTACAGGCAAAGTTGCTCAACTGCTGAAACAATCTGCGCAGGTTGAACTAAAGTCCATTCCTCCAAGGTTCCTGCATATGGGGTTGGCACATCCTGTGACGACAAACAAACAATTGGAGCATCTAAATGGTCATGGAAATTTTCGTTAATAGCTGCAGTCAAGCTGGCACCAATTCCACCGGTGCGCATGCACTCCTCCACAATCAGCACACGATGAGTCTTCTTCACTGAATTCCCAATTGTGTAAAGATCAAATGGCTTCAGCGATCTGATATCAATAACTTCAGGATCGTATCCATTGTTCACCAATGTCTTGGCAGCCTGCATTACATGATACCTCATCCGCGAATAAGTAAGAATGGTCACATGCTCACCAGGTCTAACCATCTCAGCTTCCTCAAGATTCAAAACATATTCTTCATCAGGAATCCTCTCCTTCAAGTTATAAAGTAGAACATGCTCAAATAAAATCACCGGGTTGTCACTTCTGATAGCAGCCTTCATTAAGCCCTTGGCATTGTAAGCTGTTGAGCATGCCACCATTTGAATACCTGGAATTGATTGGAAATAAGACTCAAGCCGCTGTGAATGTTCCGCTCCCAGCTGGCGACCAACTCCACCAGGTCCCCGGATGACAATTGGTATTTTAAATTGACCTCCAGATGTGTAGTGGAGCATCCCACAATTGTTAGAGATCTGGTTAAAAGCTAGGAGGAGGAATCCCATGTTCATTCCCTCAACAATTGGTCGCAGGCCAGTCATGGCAGCACCAATTCCCATGCCAGTGAAGGAGTTCTCAGCAATGGGGGTGTCAAGAACCCTGAGATCCCCATACTTCTCAGCCAGGCCTTTGGTCACCTTGTATGAACCTCCATAATGACCAACATCCTCACCCATCACACAGACGCAGGGATCTCTATCCATTTCTTCTTCAAGGCCTTCTCGTAGAGCTTCAAACAGCAAAAGCTCATGCCTGTGGATGAATGAGCACAGTTTATATATTTTAGTCCCAAAAGATCGATGGAATAGCAAACACAGAATAAACATCTCACCAAGGAGATAATTCATATACATAAGTGCTGAAGCAATCGAGATTTATGAGATACAATATAAATAACTTCAACAACCTATTAGTGAATTAAGAATTAACAACTTCAATGCGTACACAATTTAGTAATTAAGGCCCACTGTATAAGTGTGCTTTTGAAGAGGACCGTGGGATTAAGTTAGATAACACTACCCTCCATAATAATGTGACCCTATATAATATCCTCATTATTTTTTAATGCGAGGATAATACTCATCATGGGCAGTTTTAGAAACTCAAGATGCAACATTACACCTAAAACTGAATACAAGTTTTGATAATACTCCTATGGAGTGCATCTGTAATTCTCTTTACTTCTTCAATAGAATGTACTATTTTATTTCAATCATAACCGTACCAAGAATGTGGTTGTATGTGTACAAAAACAAAGAATAGAGTTCTGATCTAAACTGTCATAAGTTACAGTATAAAGTTGCTTGAACAAGCCCTGAATGCCTCTAAAAGTTTCTTATTGACTATATGGCTGCTTCTGATATAGCATTAGAGTATCCTCTCATTTAGTTCTCTATCTTTGAACATGAGGACATCTCTCTATCACTCTGAATCTGAATTTCCTTGACCTGCTAAATATTAGAGTTTGTTCTTTCATTTAGTTCTCTAGCATTGAACAAGAGGAAATGTCTCACTTAGTTCTCTAGCATTGAGCACGAAGAAATATCTCTCTCTTCTTCTCACATACACACACAAACCAATTTACTCATACAAGAAAATCTGCAAAAACCAAATGATCACCAGAAGAGGTACCACTTAAACCAAACAAAAGGAGTAAAGGAAGGAAAGTATAAGATCAATTGGAGAACAATGAACAACATAATTGGTATTTCCATCTGCATTTACTACCAGAAAAATGAAAACTTTCGCTAAAGTAGGCTCAGCACCATTTTGCCACCAAACAAATCATTTATTACAAACCTAAACTTATAGTTCCCCAATTCAGAAACAGACTTCTAGCTTCCCAATACATTTAACTTTTCCTCACACAAGTGCATTCAGGTAAAGTACCAAACGGACTCCAGCATTCAATTTCTAACAATAAAATCATCTTTGTCAACAACCATATGCATGTGCATGATTATAACAGTCCAAATCTTCTGCTATTGTGTATGCATGTTGAGGAGGGAAAATCATACCCTGGCTTGGAGCCCACAGCAGCTGATGCCTTTTCTTCCTTGGTCTAAATGATGCAAAAAAAAAAAAAAAATCGTCAGCATTCGTTCTACACATTCAAATAGTCACTAAAAAGCAACATGTTTCTGTGCATGTTTGTGCATAGGGTGAGAGGGAAATTTAAGACTTACAGCAACAGCATTAGTGACCACATTTTGAGCTCTCCTCTGTTGCTGGTTTAAACCAGTGTAACATTTTCCATCTGATCTAACAACAAAAAAGTTCCTTTTCTTCTCTGTAGCAAAGACCAAAAAAGAAAAACTTCATAAACACCCATGAGAACAATTGCCAAAGGTTACTCGAAGAGACACAAGATGGAAAAGGACCCAAAAATAAATCACTCCACCATGAAAAGAGAATGCAGGTACACTTTAGCACAGTAAAGTCTTGCAAAGGTCTCAGAAGTGAACTTGCTTCACTGGAACCACATGGATAACAGTTTATACAAAAACAAGAACTTAATTACTAAGATCCTGAATGACTTATTCCACCCAAAAGCAGAAGAACAATGGAGAATTGAATTAGGCAATAAATACTATTATGACACGGAATTTAGACCAAGAAAAATGAAAGCAACAAGAACAGAAATTACAAGAATTGCACAAAACTAAGAAGATTAGCCCTTAATTGAATAAAATGGAACACCCAGTTTCAGATCCATGCATGCCGTATCAATCTAAAAGCCACATAACTGCCAAAGCAGAGATCTCCACTAATGATGTATTCAGTGCTAGTATAAGATTTAAAACATAACAGAGTATACCTAAGAGTGATGATCCTAGAGATGACAAGAGAAATTTGTTGGAACTGGCACAAGGAGCTGCTGTAGATCCTATTCCTTGCACAATCGCAGCCATTTACTGCAAAAACATATTAGCTCAGCTTCCAACTATTAAGTACACAAGAAAATTTTCAAACTATGCATGTCAAGGAAAAGTACTAGTAAAGATGTAGACATGCTTATCATATACTGAAAAAAATCTCCATTTACAAGAAAAACTGACCAGGTACCCAGAGAACAAAGAGGACAGCAGAATAAATCAGAGTGAAAAGAAAATAACCCTTATATACGCGCAAAGCAGTATATGAACTACACAAAGGCCAAAAAAAAAAGTATCTTCTCTCAAATTCTCAAAAATGAACAAGGAAACATGAAAAACATCAAAGCTAAGAAAAAGAAAAAAGGAAATTCATTTAAATAAAGAAGAAGAGATGTTGCCATGGGATTTTCAATTTCAAGTCAACAGAGAAAAGCTGACTGAAGATTAAACTTGAGATTTACAAGCTCAAAATAGTAAAAAATAGGTAGGACTTTACCATACACCAAACAAAAGAAGGAAAAAAAAAGAAAAAAGAGATGGAAACGCAGACCCAAAAAAAAAGAGAAAGAATAAAATAAGTGACCCAGACAAGGTAGAAACTAGTTACCAGCAGAAAGTGAAATCCAACCAAGTTGATATAGCCATAAGGAGAAGAAAGAGAGGCCTATTTTGGAAACAGTTTGATAATGGCTAGATGAAAGGCAAGGAGAAATATAGAATGAGGTTTGGTCACTGTGGAAAGCTATCAAGAACGACAATCCTAGAGCACTACACACCTTTTGTACATACCCCAGGATACATACCCTATTGAGTAGACAAAGATTGGAAGCTATGCAACTTATCTTTAATGCATACTCTCAAGAATGGACAATCTTACTGGCCCATGATCAATGGGGAGTATTTTGGCACGGGAACCTCAAGTAACTAACACACTTATGTGTGGTTTCAACCAAAAAATAATTAGGACCACAGTTGTTTAACCTAAGAATGGCTGTTAAAGCAAGATACATGGTAAAACCAATCACTGACTTTGTAATCATTCCAGTGGACACCATACTTGAGTTCTCAAACGTGTGACCTGAAAGCACCCATGAATACAGCATATCCCCTTAAGAATTGGAAGTAACATAAGGTACCTCATTTTTGTTGAGAAAATAAATGATAATGGTTGGTCCTATAGCCTCATCTGGCTCAGACCACACAATATGAATCAATTGAAGAAATAGGAATAGCAGTTAGTGATACACATGATCGGTCACATAACTGGATGCTTCAGTAAATTCAACAGCTTAGCAACTTCTATTTAAACTCATCTAACTGATCTAGAACATATACCGTCATGCTTGGGCACAAGCATACAAAGACAGATTCTGAAAAAAAAAAAAAAGATGCAGAAAACATTAAAGTTTTAGTTTTGGCACTTCTGAACCTTTTGTGTACAACTGGCATGTAGTTTTCTGCACAAGGCATTAATAACTGGTTCAACCTCAAGGAAGGTGAAGCTACAATAACCAGATGATGATTGATTGAGTTTAAGTCAGTTATAGGATCAACAGAATAATAAATTGCCATTTTTCCTCAAAAAACTTTCATGTTTTTTATGAACACATTTTCCAATCACCTTTTTACCTCACATACATCAGATTGCTATGGTACATTTTTCTACAAAAAAAAAAAAAAATCCAAAAATTAGAAATCCAAATGGGCTCTAAGTTTCCTTTGGTTTTTTGGCTTTAGGTGAACCTTAGACTGCACAAGTATGCAACTAAATTTGAACTTTTGCTAACTAACATTTTGGGTGGTATGGAAAAGAATCAATGCTAATATACTTTTCTTGGTCTACCAACTGAAAAAATGGAAAAAGAAAGGGGAAAAAAGAATCTTTTCGAAGAAATGCAACAGAAAAATTCCTTCCCCACCACCACCCCCCCTTCTTCTTCAGGGCAGCTGGACTGGGCAACTGGGAACACAATCTTTAAAACTTAACAGCTTATTTCATATAATAATTAACTGCTAGCTATTCTCTGATCTTAAAATCAAAGAGCTTAAAATCTATTCCTGCCCATATTATTGGTTGTGAGTCAAATGCTAGCCAATTCAATAAATTCTGCCATCTTTACTATAAGTAGCAGAACTCGAGCATCAATTGAGTACAGAAAACAATCCAATCAGACTCATCAAGTCATGTCAAGGGTCAAATTCAAGTCCCCAAAAGGCTTGAGAAAATAAACAACTGTACAAAACCAAAACAAGAAAAAAAGGAACTGAACCAATAATTTAAGACATCGAGTAAAGCAAGCAAAACCCATCAAGAAAACCAAGCATGCAATGCAGGAGAGAAATTTGCTGGGAATATTACTTACGCTATAAAACCAGGTTTTGGAAAAAGAAAAGATGGGCCTTCTGCTGCTGTCCTGTCTTCTGGAGTTCTGGGGACAGCAAATGCAGTACAAAATTGGATGGATTGTTGAGGTAATTATCAATTAAACAGAAAAAAAAAAAAAAAAAGAGAGACCAACGACAATAAATTTGTTGTGGGGAGTTGGGAGTAGGGATTGGATCACACCCCCCGGCCCCACCCACTCCGTCAATGTGATCTGATCCGATGGGGAATTCTGGACTGAAGGAAAGAGAAGAGCCAAGCGAAAATGTGAAAAATTATTAATTAAGGACACCAAGGAAATGAAATTGCTTTCTGGCCTCTATCTTTTTGTTGCAAATTTCTTAGGACCTGTCTTCTAAATAATCTTTAATCAAGTAGTAGTAGACTAGTAGTTGTTGTTTTTCCCTTTTTCTTAGTAATTGTAATTTGGAAAAAGTATTGTGCTTTTTATTATTGATTTATTATTTTCAAATTAATGCATTTTTTATTATTGAGGGAAAGGGAGGAATAGCGAAGAAAAATGAAAGTGTTATTAAAGTTTGGATTAATTTTTTATAAGAGAAAAAAAAATGCCATGGCCAAAATCATTTTGTTTTTGTTTAAAAGTAAATTGCAATATTTCTCAAAAAAAAATGAGTGAATTGCAATAGAGCGAACAAATTTTTTTCCCAAATTTTTATCCCAATAAAATTACCTTTACTACTTAAATTGACATGTAGTTGTTTCAATTTTTTTAGATTACGTTGGTTAAATTGCTCTTAGTTTTAAACAATATTTCAATTTAAGCTGCATAATTACATGTTTCTAAAAAAGGCTCAACTTCTATTTTTCATAGAAGACTTGCATTATTTTTCCATCCAAGTCAATCTACGTGACGTGTACTTTAGTACGTGGAATTGGTAGTTGAATAACAAATATACAAAATTTGTGGGTGACTAACAAAAATTTATAAATAGAAGTTTATCTTGTTTTCTTTAAGGAAAAAACCAAAAGAAAAAAGTTTTTCTTTTTAACTTAAGTTTCCCAAAGAATCTTTGTAGTCTCTTATCAGTTTTTTAATAACTTTAATTACAGTAATTTCAAAAAATTTCTCAAAATTTTTAAATTACACACTTCAAATATCTAAAACACAAAAAAAAAAAAAAAAAATTCCCATTCTCCTTTCTTCTTCTTCCTCCCCACATCAACCCACCACCATCTCCGATGCTAATCACCTCTTCCGATGGCAAGGGGGAGGGGGAGAGGAGAGGGAGGAAAAGAGGGAGAGAGGAAAAAGTGAAAGAAAAAATGTGTGCTACTGCTGGCGCTGGTCGTCGGCAAAGGTTCCGACCCGAGTGCCTAACAATTGGTGAGGTGAGGGAGAAGAAGTGGAGAGGAAAGAAAAAGAAAAGGAGAAAGAAATAAAGAAAAAGAAAAGGAAAAGAACTGAAAAGAAAAAGTTTATAGCTTACAAAATTTTTCTATAACTTCTACAATAAGTTATAGTAAGATTTTAAACAAACACTCAAAAAATTCATTTGCAAAATGGGTATTTGTCAAAAAGAATGACAAAAAGGTTAAGAGCATTGGAATTGTCGATGGAAATATTGGACATTGAAGTATGTGACCAGTCATTGTAACTTAATCTAAAAAAATTGATGCAACAATAGTAGCACAAAAAGTTGATGCAACAATAGTAGTCCAAAACACACAAAAAATATTTCCCATCCTCCTTTCTTCTTCTTCCTCCCCACATCAACCCACCACCACCTTCAACGCCGATCACCTCTTCCAATGCCGACCATCTCTTCCAACACCGGCTAATGAAGTTTTTTTTTCTCTCTCTCTTCTCCTTCTCCTTCCTCGCTCTCCTATTCCCCTCTTCTCTTTTCTTCCCCACCACGTCTCTTGCTCCCTCTCTCTCCCCCTCATGCAATCTAGCCATGCGACCAGGCGATCTACGTAGTGGGGAAGGAGAGGGGGGAGGAGAGAGGTGCTGGGGAAGAGAGGAGGGGAGTAGGAGAGGGAGGGGAAAAGCGAAAGAGGAAAAAGTGAAAAAAAAAATTTTTGCTACTCCGCTGGTGCCCCCCGCAATTGGTGAGGTGAGGAAGAAGAAGTGGAGAGGAAAGAAAAAGAATAGGAGAAAGAAAGAAAGAAAAAGAAAAGGAAAAAGAACAAGAAAGAAAAAGAAAAGAATTGAAAAGAAAAGGTTTTGCATCTTTCAATTTTTTCCTACAACTTCTACAATAAATTACAGTAAAATTTTAAACAAATACTAAAAAATTTCATTTGCAAAATAGGTATTTGTCAAAAAAATAAAAAAATGGCAAAAAGGTTAAGAGCATTGGGATTATCGATGAAAATGTTGGACATTGAAGTATGTGACCAATGATTGTAACTTAATCTAAAAAATTTGATGCTACAATAGGTTTTAAAACATAATTAGAAAAGGTTAATACAAATCTTATGAAAATTTGACTGTGTTTGGATAGTTAAGTTTTGTCAAATAATATTTTGTTTGCATCATAAATATATTTTTAATTTACTTTTTTATATTTTTAATTATTTTTTTATCTCAAGTACATTACATCATCATAAAAAGTATTAAATTAATTATTTCAAATAATATCTCAAATGATCTCTTATCCAAACATTTGTATATGCCTAATTGGTAAAACAAATGCAATTTCTTTTTTTTTTATGAGTGTGTGTATTGAGTAGTAGTGTATATTTTGCTTTAAAAATTTAGCAAAAAATTTCGATACAATAAATTATGAAAAAGTTGTGCACTCTTTATTAATTATAATTAATCAACATGGTGATGTCCTCTTCAATAAATTCTTCCATAAAAATGTGTTGGACAAATAAAACTTTGTCACATGAATATTAATATTAATTTGCACTTTAAAAAAAATATAAAATTGCATTTCTCAAAAGAAAAAAGAAAAGAAAGGAAAAAGAAAAAGAAAAAGAAAAAAAGGTGCATCAATCATTCCTTCAAATCCACATTTCCGCCTAAATACGAACAAAATTACACACACTCACACACTCAGTGCCACTCTGCTCACTGGTCTTCCACTCCTATATCTCAATTTCCTTCAGATGAACCAGATAGCAATGGTGGATTTCGACTTCCCACTGGAACCGCTGCCGCCGCCACCGCAATACCCCACCCTACCACCGCCAGGCCCACCGCCACAGCCAACAGTCGTCGGGACTGCTGGCGGAAATGGTGGATTTTTCAGGCGGAGGCCGAAAATTAGGGTCACCTCCGAGTACGACAGTGAGAGCTCGGTGTTCTTCCACAAGATCTCCTGCAAGTTGCTGGATAGCTTGGCCAAGTTGAAATTCTCGTTTCAGAATGACGGCAAGGGGGAAATCTCCGACCCTCAGCTGGCTTTTACTTCCAAGTACTTGTCTCTTAACTATGATATCGAGGAAAAAAACGCCCTTGTCAACGGAGGTTTTGATGTTGGACCTGCTCTTCAATTCAAAGCCACTCATGACGTCAAAGTATAATATTACTGCCATTTTTTTTTTTGTATTGCTGTAATTTTGCTTCATTTTTCATGAATTAATTTGAATTGTTGCCATGAATTAGTTGACTTAAATAATTTCACCATGGATTTTAGGCCTAATGGGCAGGACTCATGAATAATTTCGGAATTATTACTAGTTGCTTTTACATACTCTGGCAATGAGTTAAATGGATGAAGTTCTAATAGTTACTGTAAACTGGCTTCTCAGAACTTGAGAATTTTAAGTGGAAAAGTAGATTCTTTTGTGATATATTCTTTTGGTCAAATGTGCAATATTGCAGCTTTCTGCAGTTTGTTTTCGTGGGACAGGAGTTTGGAAGTCAATATTTGGATTCTCCTGTAATTGGTCATAAAGTTTGTTTTTGTGCTTGTAATTATTGAGAGTCGAGTTATGTGATAAGTCAAAAAGTGACATGATTAAGTATGAAACTAAAAGCAAGCTGTGTTCTCTGAATCAGATAATAAAGAAAGAGATTCTTTTGGGCCTGTAAAGATCATGTATTTCTGTGCTTTGATGGATAAACTAAGTTCAGCTTCATTTTTTCTGTATTCAACATCCCAGTCTCCTCTTTTCCTTGTCTAACTAAAAAATATACCTATTTGGTTACTACCATGATTTAGCAATGTTAACTTTCAACTTGAGCATTAATCTGTGAGCAAAGCTCGGATTTTCAACTGCTGTGGAAGTTAAAGATTTCACCTTATTTAACTTTTGCTTCAATCTACGGTGCGATGTATATTTTTCGTGATATTTGAGGTGGAAGTTTTGCAACCGGTACACAATACCTGTAATTTCTTCCCTTGTTTTCTTTCTGGGGTATATAGCATTTGCGCTATGCTGGTCTGTTTACACCCTTTATTTACTTCTTTGCAGGCTCAGCAAGGAGAGGTGTCAATGATTGCAGATCTTGTCACTCCAGGTTTGAAACTTGAGCTGTCATCCACTGTTCCATCTGTTGGCATGGTGAGATTGGTTTGAGAGTGCTTTGCATCTGAAATTTATATCATGAGCCACATATTCTTGTGCTGTAGGGCATACAGTACAGATACATGTTAAGCTAGATTTCTTGGACTTTTTTTGCTTATATTGGTCATCAATCTATGAAAATTATGGTATTTAAGTTTCATTCTTCTGCTACTGCAGCCTAGAGCAACCCTTAAGTTTCCACTAGGCGAATTTTCATTTGAGGAGAAAGAGGAGGATGAAGAGGAAGAATTAAAGAGGAGGTTATCTGTTAGTGGGATATTCAAAACTCAAATGCTAGATGGGATTTGTACTGCAGAATACAAGGATGAAGATTTGAGTTTACGCTATGCCTACAAGGTAGTTTCCTCAAAATATTCTAATTTTCCTGTTATTAATTTTGAAAGGGTATCTACTTTTTCTCCTAATTTAGCTGATCATTTGTATCTCTTTACCTGATAGTTTAACAGTGAGCTTCTTACAAATTTTGAAGAACTCTATAACTAATTTTCTTCTAGAAAAAGGAAAAATCTGATTTAGTAATAAGTTGAAACATCCTGCCTTATATTTGTATATTATGTTCAATAGTAACTTGTTTTTTGCTATTCGTACCATTATAGGATGAGCAAATGGCATTCATTCCAAGAATTTCTTTGCCTTCAAATACAGTATCATTTGCTTTGAAGCGTAGATTTGGCCCTTCAGACAAGTTGAGGTAAGATCTCTCTCTCTCTCTCTCTCTCTCTCTCTAGCTCTCTAGTATGTGGGTATGGACCGTACTTCTTATATCTTAAGACCATTTATGCTAACTGAATTTAAACACGATACCCAGCAGTATTTATTAAGAAAGGAAAAGAGCAGATACTTTTATGGTTACCGATATAGTGAAAAAAACATTTAACTTTGAGTATGTAATCGCGAAAGTGCAAAAACAAGTTATGTGAAAGTTCTTGGTTTAGTACATTGTCTAGCTTGGGAATATGGTGTATTTGAGAAGTAAAGCTGTATTAGTTGGCCAAGGTTCTGCTTAGCTGGTGTCATTGGTTCGTTCTTGTCTTACACTTCTTGTTTAACTGAAATCTACTTAAGTATGATCATGCTGCACAATGGTTCAGAATTTATGACATATTGAAAGCACAGAAAGACAGATGTTTTATTGGATAACTTGGTATATCATTGATGGCTCTGCTTGAATTGTTCTGTATTTTGACCCCAATCAAGCGGAACCTATTTTCGATTGTATTGTGAAATGGTGCAGTTCAAACAGGAACTTATGTAGAAATTCTTATCTGATTCTTGACAATTGTTAGTCCGCACAAAAGTAAGGGTATTTCTGTCTAAAGAAAAAGTAGTACCCACAAATTTAAGGCTCACGAAACAAGAACATAGAAATGGGTGATGACAAAGAAATGTGTTTATTCTTCTTTTGATGCTTTGGTGTGACAGAAATTGATATTAGTATCCCCGTGAATCATGCTTTTATGTTTATATGTCTTAATTATTTATGTTTGATGCTTCCTCTGTTGTCAATAGAATAAAACTGAATTAATTCTTGATTGGTGCTCATTATGGATTTTGATACTCCACATGGACAGTTACTGGTATAATTTTGATTCAAATGACTGGAGCACAGTGTATAAACACACAGTTGGCAAGGACTTGAAATTTAAAGCTGGTTATGATTCAGAGGTGCGACTTGGGTGGGCATCTCTTTGGGTAAGTGTTTTATTTTTCTGCACTAATTTCATTGTCTTTGGCTGCTAATTGTTATGCATTAACTTAACATAAAACATCATTCTAATTGTCTGAATGTTGGCTCTAAGTGTAATTACTCATTCAAAATGTTGGGTGAACGTTCAAGTTGAGCCAGATTAGTACCTCGGAGATATCCTACCACATAAAACAAATTGTGCTTGTGCTTCTTTCTCATCTGGTTAGAATGTGGGCATTGGTTTCATGAAATATTTTCTTATTCTATTTCCTTGAGAACAATGTGTTGATCTATTAATCGGTCAGAAATAAAATAGTAACTGTCCCTTATCTTCTATTTTACCTCTTCTAAATTATATTTGTGCGTATATTTCTTGTCAGACAGTCCAAAAAACAAATGAGAAAAAGCTTAGGATGCAGAAATTAATTCAAATCGAAATACATGTTCTATTTCAACTGATGAGATCAGCAGCATGTTTTTGAGTTGTGTTAGAAAAATTAGCTCCTGCTGACTGCGAGATGCCATATCACGCCACCCTTGCCACATCGTTGTTTTCTTCTGTTTCCACTAGTAGCCAGTGTTTAAGGAGCTTCATTACATCAGCCTACTGAGCTTCCTGTTGATTTGCTTATGCGTGAGATACATGGTATATTGCAAAGGCCCATAATTGTATGGTTAGGTTGTCTTCTGCTTCTTTGGGCATTGTTGATCAACACCTTGGTTTCTCATAGTGAAACTTTGGTACGCCAGAGTTGAGCTTTCTAATGCCTTGCGTTTAGGTTGGAGAGGAGGATGGCAAAGCTAAGACTGCTCCCATGAAGATTAAAGTTCAGTTCATGCTCCAGGTGCCCCAAGATGACATCAAATCCTCTGCTTTGATGTTCCGTGTCAAAAAGAGATGGGACATATGACTTTGAAGGTTGTACAGTGATGATCTCTTAAATTTTCACAGCAATGATGAACGTGGTGTTTCAAGTGGTGGTGCAGCCTAGAATATATTTGTTTCACAGCAATGATGAACGTGGTGTTTCAAGTGGTGGTGCAGCCTAGAATATATTTGTTGTAACCATAATTGTGCTATACCAAACAGGTCACCATATTGGGTAGAAGATTTTTCTTTATTATGATAGAGAGCTGAAAAAGAAATGATCAAGCATTTTGCCCTGGATAATTTCTTTGATGATTCTTGGTTGCAGTTGTTGACAGTCAATTGTATATCCGACAATGGAGTACTCACAGCCAGCATTTCTCTATACATCTGATTGTTTTTTTTGTTTTTTAAAAAATTCTCTATCTGAGACCACCTTGTCCTAGTAGCTTCAAGTTCATATTTAGCTGGTTGCTTGGTTGAAACTTGGCTATACAAGTTGCAATTGAATCGAGTTAACTTGCCGCTAGATTAACCTGTACGTGCATTTTTCCTAACGCAGCAGAATAGTTGGAAGTTGAATCTGCAATTGAAATACTTAATTAAATATGCACCCTTGCATTAAGGTCTACATTAGATGAGTAGACTCCGCTTAACTGCAACATGTTTGGTTCCTTATTGGACATAATTTAGCTCCAAAAGAGGGGGAAAAAGTTCTCAAGACTGGGATTGTAAACGAGTCGAGTCGAGTTTTGGACTTATCGACCCAAGCTTGACTTAATAACAGGTAGGCTCAAGTTCGAGCTCGACAAGTCAAGAAAATTAGGCTTGAGCTCGACTCGACCAAAGAAAAGCTAGGCTTAAGCTCGAGTTGACAAGGCTCGCGAGTTATAGTTTGATTTTTGGCTCACAAGTAACTCGCATTGTCAGCTCGTAACGTAGTTCGAATTTCTGACTCGTGAGCAGCTCGTTAGCTTGAGTTTTTGGAAATTAATCTAATAAAAACAACAAATAAATTTTTTTTCTTACTAAATAATAAAATATTAGGGATATATATGTAATTTTACTATTAAAAAATTATAATAAAATATATATACTCGAACTCACGAGACGACTACCACTTTAGTTGCAAAGTAAAATAAGCCACTTTAAAGTCGAGAAAGCATGGTTAAATGTGTCTGCTTCATGCAACTTTTCTGTGCTAATAATTAATAAACTTAGAAAGTTGGAGGCATTTTCAGCTAAAACAAGTACTCAAGTAGCCAGTCAAATTAGAGGCCAAGTAAAACAGAGAGGAAAACGTCTGATGAAGAAGTTCAATGGCATTCTTAAGATAACCCAGGATTGAAAACATATATCCTAAGCCATGCCACTTCTTACCTGTGTTTATTAACATATCAAATGTATATTACTGAAAAAGTGATGGGTATATAGCCTTGTTTGGATTGCTTGTTTCTGTCGGAAAATATTATCATTTTCCGTGATCACATTTCCCTATCATCTTTTTCCCTCACATATATCAAATCGCTACAGTAGGAAAATGCAATCCAAACACAATTAGATCTTTCAGATATACACACCATATTTATATGGGTTATTTAGACAAACATAAAGTTTTTTTTCCCTTTTTTCTTAGATAAACATAAAGTTGAAGAAAAAAAAAAAAAGAAAGGATTGATTTTCTACTTTTGACCTTTTAAGTGAATTTTGTTGGTAAATAATCACGAAATTACCATAGTTGTAATCTTACATCTTGATCTTTTGCTCCATTAGTGGTGCCTCTTAAGTGTTTTGTTTAGTGTATATTTATCTAGTATTTGCTTCAACTAAAATGCAATGCAACATTTAGATTTTTTTTAGAGCTAAATTTTTTTTTTGGTCTTACCATTCATCTTATATTAAATCACTAACAGCGCCCTAAAAAATGTTGAAGAAAAGTTTACGACAACTTTTTGGTTGAGAAGGTAAATCCCAAACAAAGATCAGCAGTATTTCAAGAAGAAACAAATATTTTTCAATCATTTTTTATCTCACATACATTAAATAGCTATAAAATAGCAAAATTTCTATAAAAATTCTAAAAAATAGCAATTCAAACGGACGAAATCACTACAATATATATATACATTTTTTAACAAAAACTTAAAATTATGTTTTTCTAAAAAAAACTCCAAAAATAAATAGCAATTCAAATGGGACGTAGATAATGGGGGGTGCTGTAGTAGCCAGTAGGAGAAATGAAGAAAAGTAAAATGGAAAAGCTGCTAACCTTTTCCCATTCTATCGACTGTCATCAATCATCAGCAGTATATTATCGTCTCCTCCACACGTACACGCACTCACACACTGGTAAAAAGGGATTAAAAAAAAAAAGGGGAAAAGGGCTCTCCAGTCTCTTGCTTGGAATAAACAAACCAAACAAAAAAAGGCCGGGCTGCGGGCAGCAGCACAAGTCATAGGGAGGGAGTGGTAGCAGATAGCTCGTCAACAAAAACATACAGCCAAAAGCTGCCAGCCTGCCACCGCAAAGCCGTCCAAATTTTCACCCAAAACCAGACAAAGCATTCGTTTCAGCAGTTCTGTGCTGCTGCTGCAAAGCATAGGCTAACCAGGCGGAGGCCACAAGCGAAAATACAAAGAGTTCTTGAGAATCAGTATAGAGCATATACAAGAGTTCTATCGAAGGAAGAAAGGAAATTTAGCAAGAAAAAAAAATTAATAATAATAAATAAAGAGAGAAGACTGTGAGAGATGACCACATCTTTATCATTGAGGCTGTTGCTGTTTCCTATTCCTCATTCTTATCCACTGGCCTGTGCTTTTTCCCCTTTGGGTTCTTCCAAAATCTCTCCTTTTCCCCACCCGAACAATCCCTTTTCTGCATTGGACTCTTCTTCATCCTCCTGTGGGAGATGGGCTTCTTTCCGCAAAAACAAGGTAGGATTTTTCGACTTCTTTTTGCTTTCTTGATTTTGATATTTGCATTTCTGTGAAGCTGTAAGTGGGAAATGGCGTTTGTATCTGTCTAGCATGCCATTTATGGGGTTCGAAGGAATGTGAGTTTTATTGCGTTTCGTTGTTCTTGAGGGCCGAAAAAGGAAAAAGAAAAAGAAAAAGAAATAAGAGAATTGCGGGAAAAAAAACAAAGGAGGGCTTTTTGCTTTTGTTCCTGGGGAGGGAGGGGGTTTGAGTGAAGCTTTATGGCATTTTAGTTTTCAGTGATTTGGAATTCGGATGCTTTGAGCAGAACAAAAACGTTTATTTGTTTAGTAATTTATGGGTTGGATTTGCTCTGTTCTGGATAATTTGTGGGGTTTTAAAATGCTGGGCAAGTGTAGTTTTTACCGCTTCATTTTCTAAAGTTCGTACTTTTTTCTTGGTTTTTCTAGCTGTGGTTCTGTGTGTCCGAGATTTTGTTTTGTTCTCCTTCGTGAAACCTGAATTTTTGTGTGAATGTCTGTGTTGGAACCCTGCAATCAAATGGCACGGTTCCATAATTTTCTACATGCCTGAGTGTCATGCATGCGTCAGTTTGTATAGATTTATTGTTTCTCCTGGCATTCCTTTGAATAACTTGGTATTGTTTCTCAAGCGATGTTTTTACTATGATTTATCAATGTAACAAATCCTTATTTTTCTTCCATAACAGAGGAAGTTTCTGCTACATTTCTTTTGGTCCTTTTGCGTGAAATATATTCATCTTTTAATTGGTAGAATTAGTTGACTGAGAAGGTCAATTAGCCTTGCATAGAATTCTGTAGTTGAGGATTTAAAGATGAATTAGGAATTAGGTGGAGGTTCTTTGGTAGGTGTTGCTGCATTGATCTGAACAGATATCTATTTTCAATCTGCTCAGGATTTGTGTGGTATATGAGTGCACTACTTTTTATGCAAAATTTCTATCCAAAGGGGAACAATACCACTTACATTGTTTTTAAATGGCTAAATGCAATGAATGACCTGAAGTTCCATTTTCTTGTTCTGGTTCCTCTAAGCTTAGGAAAGCGATTTAATGTTCGTAAATTTTGGCCCCTTTTTTTTGGTTAGTTCTGCCTCTGAGCACTGGTTTTAATGATTTTTGGGCACTCACGTGCTCAATTCTTCAGCCGTGAGATGCTTGATGTCTTCACAAGCTGGTACTTTCCCCTTTGTTTTAGAAATTTCAGCAGTAAATGCAATTGCAATACATTTAGTACACCTTTCCATTTTATTTTCTCAGGCGAAGGGGGCCAGAGGAGGGGGAAGGGAAGACAATTGACAAACGCAAATGACTATGTTTTTGTCCAGCTTTTCTTCTCTATTTCTCTTAGTGCTTCTCCATGTTTTGATTGTTGGAGTCCAAACTTATAGGCTGGAAGGATCAAAGTAGTGGCTTAATGAAGTAGATACAAGGCTACTCTGGGCTGTTAGATAGTTATCTGTCAGACTATTAGGTATAAGTGCAGTTTGTGCTGGAGTTGCAAGTATTCTGTTGGCTGTTTGAAAAGAGAGATTTTGTTTTCTATTCCTGGTAAGGATATTTGAGCCAGTTGCTGCAAACTTATGTTATGTCATGATGGCATACTTGATCCATGGTTTAATAGCAACTAGAATGGAATGACTAACTTTACATTGTGACCGATTATTGGTCTTACATGACAAATGCACTTTGCTGGGGGTGCTTGGGTTTAGAACGCATTAATTTTCTTTGTAGTTTAGTGGTTTTAACAAGTTTTCTCAAACAACTTTGCTCTTGAAAACTGAGAATTTCTCATTAGAAATGCTATTCTTGCAAGCTTGAGCTTCTCTTATTTCTTTATACGCATCAGTTGGTTTTCACTAATGATTTACTACCAGGGAACTCTCTTTTCTATGTGCTGATATAGTGGCTTTATGGATATGAGAAAAGACATCAAGGTTCTGAGGGCGTGAGAGATGAAGATGATCATCGGGTGCAAATGTATGGTTCTGATGAAGAGGTCAAAACTCAGATTCCAACTCAAGCCCAATCTATTGTTGAAGGGTCAGGAGCAGTTCTGCTGTCTGAGTACAAGCCTGCCCCTGATGTGGACTACATACAGGTTTAGTATATTTAATGTGCAAAATGAGGTTCAGATGGCAAGGAGTTTTGACCACAATTTTTCTTTACACCACTTAAACAGTATCAACAATTTTTTGTTACTTACTTTCCATGTACCTCTAATGGGATCACCGTTTTGCATTGTAATCTTTCAAGCATGCCATACTTTAGGCAAGAGAGCGCAGAATGACCTTAGATAGTTTTCATGCCTATGTGTGGATAAATTTACTTGACTCATTTCAACAGAAGAATTGGTTAGATAGGATGTCAATATAAACTATTGGCAAAGCATTTACACTTTCAGTGTTTAGGTTTTCAAAATTTCCAT